TCTTGGGGGACTACATAAATTATTATAAAAGTTAAATTCTGTAGCTCCAGTAAGTTTACAGCAAAAAGGCTGCTCACAGTACTCAGATGTCTGACAATATTTGCCCAGTAGAGTTGAAAGTGCAACTTGCAATTAACACTTGCAAGCCTGGAAACTCTTCTGAAGATAAAAGGTGGTCCCTAGAACATCCTGCTAATCCAAGCCTATACTTCTGCTAGGAGCTGCTGTGGCTCTTGTGGTATATTGCAGCATGAGGACTCAAAGGGGGAAAAGCCACAAAATCTGTGGCTGCCACTGCTATAAGAGTGTGGGCTCCTCCTATTGTTCTAGTGAGGGGGCTTAACATCTCAAATTGGAACTGGGAATACATTTTCCATAAAAGCGTAGGTTTTGTTTTTTAATAGGAATGGCTATGGCAGCAGTTCTCAACCTGTGGGTCGCGACCCCTTTGGGGGTCGAACAACCCTTTCACAGGGGTTGCCTAAGACCATCGGAAAACACATATGTAATTACATATTGTTTTTGTGATTAATCACTATGCTTTAATTATGTTCAATTTGCAACAATGAAAATACATCCTGCATATCAGATATTTACATTACGATTCATAACAGTAGCAAAATTACAGTTATGAAGTAGCAACGAAAGTAATTTTATGGTTGGGGGTCACCACAACATGAGGAACTGTATGAAAGGGTTGCGGCATTAGGAAGGTTGAGAACCACTGGTCTATGGTTAATATATATTTTTTCAAATTAGATTTTAATCACCAAAGTGATTAGTGGTAATTTTCACATTGACTGTAAATGAAACTGAAAAACAAAATTCATCAAAACAAGTGTCTTTGGGGCTATTGTCTACTTTTCTAGAATTTTCACATTTCTTTCCATGTAAAAGTGCCAAGTCTGAATTCCAACTTAATGGGAGTGAATCTGTTTCTATTCCTATAATATACTTTAAAAGTTAGAACTTAATATATGGTTATACTTGGGTTATAATTAATATGTCAAATAGTTTTTTGTCTTGACTATACTGTATTTTTTACTGCTTTTTAAAAGTTATTGCTTAATTCATTTTAATGGCCCTTATTTAAAACATCTCACTTGAATTATCAAAAGGCAAATTACGCATAATTAAATAAAAAGCATTTTATCATCTATGAGAAATTGTTTGCCTCTACATTGGCACCAGGTGGAGAGAAACCATTTTATTACTTAAGGCAACTCAATTTTAGATAAGCTGTAAGAAATTCCATTGTTTTAGGACTCACTTCAGCTTGGTTTGTTGGTAAGTATATATTGATCTAAGCAATGGATTTTGCTTAATAGGAAAGCCATCTTCAGATACAATGCCTAAGCCCAAGAGAACTCCCAAACAGAAGAAAGTAGAGACTATGAACTCTGACTCGGATTCAGAATTTGGCATTCCAAAGAAGACTACAACACCAAAAGGTGAGGATTATTTCTGCGTAACCCTCAAACATGCCATGTGGAAAACATTTAGTCTCCTCTACTCATTGAAATTAGAAAGACTGGGTGTACCTATTTTAAGTTGTTTTACTCCTCAATGAGCAATTTAAGAATCAGTGCTGAATTAATTCAAAGGGAAGTATAGCAATTTGCATACCTAGGTATGGTTCAAAGACCCCCATGCAGTGGTCTCATTGGAAGTAGTTACTAAAATGGTAGATGAGAGTGTAACACCCACTGGAGTAGGCTGGAGCTAGGACTCCGAGAGCAGAGCTTTTTGCTGATCTAGGAAGTGAAATAGCTGTGCTCAGGTAAGAGATGACTTTCTATAAGGGTAGCTATTCAACCTTTGATCCAACTGACTGATCGTGTTTATTTTATTTCTAAAAGTGGCAGTTAGGATAAGGATACAGACCTACAGGGAAGCAAGAGAGAATAACAAAGTGGAAAAGAAACATTGTGATTGGGGAGGTCAATACTTAAGGTGTGCATGGTTTAAAACCTTTATAAATACACTAGTGACCTGGTGCACGGATTTGTGCACATTGAAAAGAAATTAATTAGAAGGTGGCTGGCATGATGGGCCGGACACGTCTTGGAACCAGCCTCCTGTGGTCCCTCCCTGGCCGTCAGTGCCATGGCTCGAAAGGTGTCTGCAGAGTGAGTGGGGTCCCTCCGGCAGGTGGGGTCCCTCGGCCTGGCCTGTGGGGATTGGGCCAAAACCAGCTCTCCGACATCCCCCAAGGGGTCCTGGAGTGCGAGAGGGCACTCTGCAAAGTTGCTGTCCTACAGGGTGTGGATCACAAATGCAAGTGTGCAGTAAACCAAATTCGGGTCCGACAGTGCCCCAGCAACAACATAACCCACTGCCGAAGTGGAATCATGCTTTCTCCTCTCTGGTTTTGGGGTGCATCACCTAACAACCACCATTGCCAAGTCACGGCAGCTACTGCGTTGAGGGTATGCCCCCTGGTGGTCAGTGCATGTCATAGCAACTGGTCCCACTGTTTGTTGGTCCATTTGCATATTAGCCTATTATATAGGATGTGCCAATTCATTGATTAATTTGATCAACAGTTCCTCATGTTGTGACCCCCAACCATAAAATTATTTTCGTTGCTACTTCATAACTGTAATTTTGCTGTTATGAATTGTAATGTAAATATCTGATATGCAGGATGTATTTTCATTGTTACAAATTGAACATAATTAAAGCATAGGGATTAATCACAAAAACAATATGTAATTATATATGTGTTTTCCGATGGTTTTAGGCGACCCCTGTGAAAGGGCCGTTCGACCCCCAAAGGGATCGCAACCCACAGGTTGAGAACTGCTGATCTAGTTGGTCATAGCTGTTAAAGAAATTTTAAAAACTTAGAATTGCAATTTAGTTCCATTTTTTTTTTACTCATTGGAATCACTAGAATGGAGAACATTTAAACATTACCTTTTCCTCCTCCAATGATGAGAATAAGAAATTAGGTAGATGAAAGAAAATAGGCTGCATGTGGTAATTCTAGGTCTGAGAAGGAATAAAGATTTGATAGATTATTTCACTGAGGGTTCTATTCTAAGATTGTGCTACTTAAAGTGGGATCTGCAATTGGTTGTTACTAATGTGCAATAAGTAAAATTTAGAGTAAGGATTTAAACCTTTAACATAAATTATAACGTATTACATTTTAAAAAATATTGGTCTATGACAAATTAGAAACTAAATTGTTTTTCATCACAATTTAAAAAGCACTTTTTAAAGAGATTTTCTTTTCAGGTGCAAATATTTTCTTTCATGTATTAGGAGCTTGGTCATTAAAATTTGTCATGAGGACCTTCCAGTTAGTTTAAATATATTTGTGAAATACATTTAGTCTTGTCAACTCCAGAACTGAAATGATGCTGACGAATTGTTTCTACATCATTCATGTTAAGAGATCAGGGGATGCCAAAGAAGTAATGTTTTTATCCTTTTATATTGCACTTAACCTTGGGTGAAAAAACCTTTTGTATAATTTTAAGGTAAAGGCCGAGGGGCAAGGAAAAGGAAAGCATCTGGCTCTGAAAATGAAGGTGATTATAATCCTGGCAGGAAAACAACCAGACCACCAAGCAAGGTAACCAGAAGCATCTGTGTAGTGCTGGTTTTGTTTAAGATGATCTATAACTGGCTTAGTTTGACTATTAGTATAATGTCTTCTAATAACTTTAAACCTAGCATACTTATCCTTAGGGGACTTGTATATGGGTAAAGAATTATCCAAGTCTAGATCGATATAATTAGGGCTATTTCTTGGATCAAGTATGGTATAAATTATATACTATCTGTCTAAAATATTACTGTTTGCAGACCAAATAAAGGCTATTTCTTTATTTGATCAGGGCTAATTTAATCTTTAACTTAAACTCTCCCAATTAGTCCCACCAGAAGTACACTATCTCTATTAGGTTAATGAAAAAGCATCAAATATCCCCCTCTTTTTCTCTGTTGTCCATTAAAATTTTAAAATACAAACATAGGTGATTTTAGCTTTATGTTGCTTTCACACTGACCTCTTCCATCCAGTTTTCTTCTACACCTCTGGTCCATCTCAGTGACTCTTTTTATAAACATAGTGTGCAGTACATACTGTGCATAAGTCTTGTTTTCCTCTCATGAATTCATAGGTACTTACAAATTAGACAATTTGAATTTTTACTAATCTGGTCATGGTGCATATTTGCTGAGTGATATATAAATTCTGAAAGAAATAAGTAATGATAAGTAATACAAGATTACTAGGGTGGCAAATTATTATACTTAATCCTTTTTTTTTCCTTCATGAAAATGAATAAGTAACTGGTCTTACCCTTGAGTTAACATTACAGTTCTAAATTTAAAAGCACCATTATTTATAATTCTCAGATGTAAGTGAAGTGTAAGGAATGAGTTCTTTTTAACACTAGTCTTTTGTTTTCTTCTTAACTTTGGGCTTTTGAATCTATTGTTTTAGAAACTGAAGAAAACATCTTTTGATCAGGATTCAGATGTGGACATCTTCCCATCAGACTTTGCTTCTGAACCACCTTCTCTGCCACGGACTGGTCGAGCTAGGAAAGAAGTGAAATATTTTGCAGAGTCTGATGAAGAAGATGATGTTGATTTTGCAATGTTTAATTAAGTGCCCAAAGAGCACAGAAACATTTTTCAACAGATAACTTGTGTTGTCTTTTTGTCTTCTCTGTCTCAGACTTTTGTACATCTGGCTTATTTTAATGTGATGATGTAATTGATGGTTTTTTATTGTGGTAGGCCTTTTAACATTTTGTTCTTACACATACAATTTTATGCTCTTTTTTACTCATTGAAATGTCATGTATTGTCTGATTGGCTTGTAGTATTGTTATAGACTGCCGTGCATTAGCACAGATTTTAACTGTCATGATTGCAGACAACAGACCTGCTTTTTGAAATGAAATTTAAACATTAAAAATGGAACAGCTTTCTCTGTCTCTTTACTGAAAATGAAAGTGTAGTGAAAGCTCCCACACACCTTTAAAATAAATATATTTTATTCTTTGCCAGGAGACTCCATGGAAAAAGGTAAACAGTATATGAACATAGAAAGCATTGTTAAACAATCTCAATGTACAAACAGAGCCAGTGAAAATACATCACAGACTTGCTAAAATATAAAAAAACAACAACACCCACTAGTGCTTAAATGAAAACTAAGAAACTGACACTTGTATCTGTTAACCACTCTACCACAGCTTTCACTCTGCTTCATAGTGATTGAACAAGGTCAAAGAATACTTATTCTCTGCCCATGCCATGGGAGTTAGTGTGAGCCCCTGGGCATCAAGAAGGCTGGAAAAACCCCCAATATCAGGCATGAGTCGGGAAGGACCCTAGTTACATGGTACAGGTGGTAGACCAGCCTGTTAATTATACCAGAAATTATACCAAGAAATTTCCCTAATGGCTTGTGAATAGGTAAACAAAAATTTACTAACACTGAAAAGTGTTTTTGCCTTGGAGGCTATCATTACTGTAAAAATGTATCTTTTTTTAAAAATCGTGTAGTTGTCATTAAACAAGTAATAAACCACTTTTAATTTAAAGTGACATTAACAGTTGAACAATGACATTTGATTAACTGAACTGGCAGTTACACTGATACAGAATTCTCTTCTGCTAGTACAGTGAATTGTATATATTTACTGGGCAACATGAAATCAAGAGATGCAGTTTGAAGCATCAGAAAGAGCAAGGACAAGCTTCCATACTAACTAAATTAGAGTATCTTTAGCCTTATCTTGTCCTACTGTACAATAATCCCATTTCCTTACCTTGACGTCTTGATTATTCTGTGAAGGCAAGACAGTTACCTTTTGAACCTTTCTTAGCTGGACATGTACAGTAGTCTGTTCCATAACCTTGGTGTCTTGGCTATTTTGAGTATGCAAGACAAAAGGAAAGCACCAAACATACAGCATAGAAAGAACAGCCATATTTCTGTATGTACAAAGTCTTTAGAAACTTAACCAGGGCGTAATCATTTTGACGGGGTCTTTGCCATGCAAACTTGAGTGTTCAAGGAAGAAAATAGAAGCTTTTAACTGGTTTCTGGTTGCATGAAATGGCTGATGTTTAGAATTTAAAAAGTTTGTATTTCTAGGTAAGTTAGACAGTGAGGAGTATAGTATATATGGATACATACGAAAACATCTTGGTCCTTCTTGAGTTTTAATATATTTTCAGTCCAAAAACTAAGCAGCAGTAAAAAGGTATTTTTTTTTCCTTTCTTGCATTTTAAATCCCGGAACTGAAGGTACTGGGGAATGTTTGAAGTAGCTGGGAAGTGTCTTATTGCACCAGTGGTGACTGACTGACACCGCTGTTTTCCACTGAGCTGGGTGAGATGCTGGGACTGTGCTCTGCTGTGTTCCCACTTGAACTTGGGGTCAAGGGTTCATGTCCTTCAGAATTCTCCAGCATTTCCTGAATGAGAGGTGGCATTGATCCAGGAATTTCCATTTTCAGGGTAATTACACGTTCTGCACCTTTTAAAAAGAGATAATAGGAATCTGGTAGAGATAAGGAGTGAAGCTGCATAACTAGGGATCAACCTTCATCTACTTGAACAAGGCTGAAAATGGTGCTACGAAGGCCTCCCCAAACCTATGCTGATTTCACAACATATGGTGTTGTGAAATCTATAGATATGGTGACATGTTTAAATTTGATAATTCCATGCCTTTGTCAGTTTCAGGAGACAAGATTGGTATGTATTTACGTAACATAATTTACAATGAGAAGTTCCTGATAACAGAAACAGTATATATTTTGAAAATGAGACAGTTGAAAGGACACCAGTAACCAAAAAATGAAGGAAGTGATTTGAGTGGTCAAAGTGGGGCGAGCATCAATTTGATGTAGCACTGCACTGTCCAGTGCGGCTGTTTAAATTTACATTTGTTAAATACGATGAAGAGAACAGTGTATTTGATGTAGCACTGCACTGTCCAGTGCGGCTGTTTACATTTGTTAAATACGATGAAGAGAACTGCCTCAGTTGCAGCAGCCACATTTCCAGTGCTCGAGAGCCACGTGTGGTTAGTGGCTACTGTATTGCACAATGCAGAGCACAGGATATTTCCACAATCACAGTAAATTTTATTAGCACTGGCTTAGCCAGATACAGGAAATGGCCATATTAAGTTAAACAGCCTCACTGTTTTAAAATTAAAGACATCATAATTATAAGGTCAAGCACTGTTTGCTTCTATCCTTAATCCTATGCTAGGGCTGAGCTCAACATCTCATTGAAGAAACTTTAGAAGGAGATCAAGGATTGAGACTATCAAGCAGGTTCACTGTGCCTCGAAGCACTTCCCCGAACGCGAGTTTGTTCCTTGGTTCACCAAGGTCTTCAAGGGATAGCGTATGCTAATGGAAAGGAGAATGACAACATTTGGTACTAGGGGTGGCTACTGAGTTTTCTCTACCCTATGCCAACACTCAGCTGTTACAGGGCTCTGGGCATAAGCTTCCATACTGACTAAATATAATTGCTCAAATTGCCCCATAAACTGAAAATCACTAGGGCAAGAATACACCTCTCAGGAAGGCAGCAGTGCCTTAGCTTAGAAGTGTGCGGAAGTAAATCTGCCCAGACACAAGAGAGCAATGGCTACACTGATTGAGAGAAACTTCACCAACAACGATCGTAAGTACAATTCATTTTTCTTGAGGTTTGGAAGTTCAGGTAAAACGAGTCCAATTTACATACACCAGAGCATGTGTAGAAAGCTGGAGTGAAATATATAAAACTAGAACATTAAAAAGCTTGCCATACCATACATTCTCTTTTTCTAAAATCCTCACCCGAGGATATATTCTACTGACTAGAGAGAAGAAGGGATTGAGACAGAGAAACATCGGTCAGTTGCCTCCAATATGCACCACCGCTGGGGATCAAACACACAACCTAGATATGTGCCCTGACCAGAATCAAACCAGCAACCCTTCAGTACATCAGACGACGCTCCAACCAAGTGAACCACACCGGCCACGGCTATATATCCATTCTCTTGAAAACAGTTTTTCTAATCCTTGGTCACCTGAATTTTAAAGCTCTCATCATCTAAGATTGAGTAGGGTAAAATTTCAGGTTTTCTTTTCTTTGTAAGGGTGGGTACTATTTCATTTCTTTTGATTTCAATGAGAAGTACATGCTAAAACAAAACCAACAAAAAGGCAGCTATTACCAAACATCCTGAATTAAAACATGGGGTTTAGAAAAGCAATACAACTTGCTCAGGACTGCTGGCTCCATGTCATATAGACAGCGCAGACTGGGGACATACCTTTACCCACGTCATACAGACAGCGCAGACTGGGGACGTACCTTTACCCACGTCATATAGACAGCGCAGACTGGGGACATACCTTTACACCACGTCATATAGACAGCGCAGACTGGGGACATACCTTTACCCACGTCATATAGACAGCGCAGACAGGGACATACCTTTAGCGCTGATGCTGCGGAGATCTGTGATTTTCATTAAGATCTTTGGGAACATGTGAGGCTTGTTGGGTCGTCTCTTTCTTATATAAATTTTTAGGGCTTCCAGCAATGGTTCTTGTAGCTTATCTACTTTTGTTGGTTCCTCAAGGTCCTGGCGGTCTAGATACCGGAAATAAAGTATTACACAATTAGTAGCAGGACAGAAAGTTTCACACTTTCCAGGATAGAGGGTCATTCCTTGTTCCGACTACATTATGACTTTATTAATTTGATGGTTCAATCACATGTGCAACTTTGAAGATATATGCAACTGCTCTGGGCAGTGATACTTGAAAATGACTGTCCCCCTTCTTGGAGGAAGGCACATTTTGAGGGCTGCTTGCTTTTATCCCAGGGAGAGAATTACTTCTCATGACCAGGAGGTGTCACTACTGAACTGAATTAAAGCAAACCTTGAGCAGGATGGTTATGAAGGCAAGGTAAGTCCTCCCCTAATTAAAGCCATTACTTTTTAGCCACTATGATTCGGCCTCCTGCGAGCTGATAGGGGTCACTACAAAGAAGAAAGCCTTATTTTATCTCAGTCCTCTAAGGGTTGGTAGGGGGCCAATCCAATGACTTGTATTCCGGGCCACTAAATTAGCAAACAGCACATGCAAGTCCCTGGGAACATCATCAAAATGTCCCCAGGCAGTTCATTTTATAGTGTGATGCTACCTTTAAAAAAATACCTGTGGCAATTGTAGAAATAGCATTTTGATATTTCAGAGCAGAAGGATCCCAAACTTAATTTAAACAATATAGAAAAATGCAATAAACCCCATGCATGCATGCCTGGCTTTATTCACATGCTTTCTTCTAAGTAAAACATCTCCAAAATGGAGATGAAGTTTCCCCCATAAATTACAAGTGCAAGTTGTTCCTGGAATCCCCTGAGGGTTTGCTAGGTAGTCGGTACCTCCACAGATTAAGCAGATGGCACTGAGAAGGCCTGTTTCTGTGTCATCCATTTCCAAAGGCAGGAGCTGGTTGGCAAAGGTGAACACAAGGTCAGTCAGAGGACCAAATCCAGCATTGTGCATCTGAGTTCGATTTAGGGTAAGGCCATCGGAAAAAGTCATGGTGTCTTGTTCTGGGGTATACCTGGTGCAAATTCTAAGAATCTGGAAGAAAAACAAACACCCAGATTGGATGGATCATCAATGCCAGCCTGGCCTCACAGCATCAGTCAGCTCTAGGCAGGAGGTAGCATGAGGATTTCCAAGGTGCTCCCACATCCCAGGAGGCGCTCGGCCCCCCTCTCTATTGTTGAGTGTCTCCTCAAGCTCTTTCATTAAAAGAGTATAGAAGTCACAACACGGGCTAAAGTCATTTTAGAGAATAACAACTAGGACACAAGAAATCTCTGTCTAAAAGTCATCTATTTGAGTCAAATAAACATTTACCAAGGACCTACTTATGTCCCAGGCACTATGCCAGGTGCTAGGGATAAAAAAAATGAATGAGATTCTTTTTTTTTTTTAAATGAGCTTACAGCCTACCAAAAAGAAAAAAAAGGGGGGGGGGGCGCAATAGCTACCATGTATTTAATGCCTAGTGTATATCAAGTGTTACACATGCCCTACATTAAAGCTTGCAAACGCCTCGATGAAGTGAATATTATTTACATATTGCAGATGAGGGGCTGAAGCTCAGAAGTGTAAGCCATGTGCCCAGGGTCACACAGTTGATATGTGGCTGAATCGGATTCAAGCCCAGGTTAGGCTCCCTCTTGCACTGCCTCCGACACCACGTTCCACAGACAACTATGACTCAGGAGCAGGAGCGGACCAGCAGGGAGCTGGGAGCTCGGAAGAAGGGAAGCTCCGACGCAGCCAGGACGAACTCAGAGCAGACTTACGGAGAAGAGGCAGCGTTTCAAGAAAGCCAGGATGTAGGGGTGGAATGTCTATAGGCAGGAAGCCTGGCTCACCCTGCCACGGTCTCCCAATCCTGCCTGATAAACGGCCCTGCTGGTCCCCCTAGGGCAGTGGTTGGCAAACTTCGGCTCACAAGCCACATGCGGCTCTTTGGCCCCTTGAGTGTGGCTCTTCCACAAAATACCGACTTCTGCGCATGGGCCACGAAGTTTCAATCGCACTGTACGTGCACGCCCACATGTGGTATTTTGTGGAAGAGCCACACTCAAGGGGCCAAAGAGCCGCAGTTTGCCGACCACTGCCCTAGGGCACCTGCTGCCACAGAGGCGCCTGCTCCCTGCACTGTGCCTCCAGAATGCCTTCCTTCTGTACACAGACAATCCCGGCTGGCGCTCCCATGGCCCTGTGGATGCTAACTGCTGGGCAAAGTCAGGATGCTCAGTATCTATGGGCTCAAAACCGCAGACACCGGTCCGGTTTGGAACCGAATGGGAACTAAGTAAGTCTTTGCACTTCAGCACGCTGCCAAGATGTGACTGCGTGAGCGCTGTCCCTGCAAGAATGAAAGGAACCGGGGCTTGTCAGAAAGGAACGGGAGGCCAGGATTGAGACATCTGCAAGCTGTCAGTGGCTCCCTCAGGCAGCCAAGTCCGAACTGCAGGGCACGAACACCTCCGTACTGTCCTCCTCGGGAGGGTTTTCCTCCTGAGAAGCTGAAAAGTATTTGGATTCCGATGAAGCATTTAAACTATGCCCAGCTGCTTCTCTCCCTAGAAAGTCCAAACCAAAGCCAAGTACAAATGGGCCGTCCAGAGCGGAAGGTGCGCAGCCTGAGATGGAAGAATGTCAACGTCTTTACCAACGTCCGCCCCAGCCCTGCCCCCGCCGGGCCCCTGGGCAGCACAGCACCCCCTCCCGGTGCTGGCCAGGCTGCCTCTGGAGGGAAACCGGGAGCTTCATTTTGTCACAGTGGCAAACACCAGTGCGACCCCAGGATTCCAACACCCTTTGTTGAAAGGAGGGTCTCTCCTCTGGGAAGAGGAGCGCACAAGCCCCAGGCGATGGTGGGAAATAGCCCAGGGGAGGCTGGCCAAGCCGCGGCTACTGGGCAGAGCTGGTCCTCCTCAGGGCAAGAGGGCCCTCACTTCCTGCCTGTGGCAAAGAGGACCGAGTCTTTTCCCATGGCTTTCTAGGTGTTTCCTGGGAGCACACTGCTGGGCTGCCTCTCTGGGAGGATGGCTCTGAGCATCTGACATCCCAGAGGCAGAGCCGGGCACTCATCCACCTCTCTCCTGCTCCCTGTGGCTACCGAATCCAAGCCACCGCTGCTCCTGCGGCCACAGCACGCTGTTCACAATGTTCATCAGAGGAGACTTCTCCTTCCCTGCAAAAGTCCCTCTGATTGATGGCGGGTAGTTATCTTACACCCCTAACATCCAACCTTCTTCCTGCGGCAGCCACGGCCTCTGCCC